TCCAGCTCTGCACTGTTCTGCTCTGTGCCCTTTGGAACACGTGGAGCCAGGACCCCCCAGCCCGAGGGGGGAAGGTTTGGAACAGAACTTTCTTCTTGGGTTTTTTTGGTTTTTTGGGGGTTTTTTTGGTGGTTTGTTTTGCTTTTCCTCTTCTTTTTATTATTGTTCTCGTTAAAACCGAACCCAGCAACCCCCTGGCACACAGACAGGAAAAGCTCTCCTTGCAGAATTCCTGCTGAACAGAGCTGGAGCGTGCCCACATTCCGTCCCTTCCACAACCACCTCCGAAACACTGAAAGCAAGGCCTAGTTTGGGGTTTTCTTTTGTTGTTTGTTTGTTTGTTGGGGGTTTTTTTTGGCTTTTTTTTTTTCTGAGACATTTCTGTGACCAAGAGGCAGAGGAGGAACTGGAAAGGACAAACCCAACCAGCCCCTCTCCCTTGGGCAGGTGCTGTGGAAAGGGACACGAGAGCACCTCCCAAAGGCAGGATTTTCCCACTCAGGGAAGGCCCAGAACCTTCTGGACTCTCTACCTGTGCAGCCCCACAGGTTGGGCAGGTTGTTCCTCGCTCCCTCCCGAGGCTGGAGAGCAGAGCTGGGCTGGGAAAGGCAGCACAGGATGGTCTGGAGGAAATCAGGAGCTGGCTGGAGGATTCTTGGCTTGGGGGGCAACAGTGCTGCAAAAAGAAGGAGGGAGAGTCACGTCCAGCTGCCCTGAAATGTGAAAAATCAGGGCTTCTCTCCAATAAAACTCTCCTGCTGCCTGAGAGGGTCGTGTCCAGCAGGCAGGAAGGCCACCAGCTGCCATGAAATGTGAGAAATCAGGGCTCCTCTCCAGTAAAACCCTCCTGGTGTTTGCAGGGGAGCAGCTGGGACAAGGACACCTTTGCCACACCAGCCCCTGGGGGTGTCAGAGCCACCTCTGCACCCACAGCCCCCCAAAAACCAAATAAAGATGCTCTGGGAGGCCCAGAGTGCGACCCTGCCGGGCAGGAGCTGGGAGAAGGTGGATCCTGAACCAGGAGTCTCGTGGCCTCTCTGCAGGGGCAGAGGGGGCTCTGTTTGCTGGGGTGGTTTGTCAGGGATTTGGGAATTTTCTCCCTCCTACTGCAGTGCCAACCCCGTTCTCAGGAGAGACAAACACGCCAGAGTCAGACAATCTGTCACAGGATATTTCTGCAAACACAGAAATGCATCATCCTCCTGCTGCCACTTATTTCTGAGGGATTCTGCCCCCAAAAAGACAGAAAACCGCCCCAAACCAGCCTCTCCCCACCCCTGCAGCACCACCTCCCTCCAAACACCCTCGGGGCAGCAAAAGACTTCCCACATTCCACACCCAAACCCCCCTTTCCCGAGGGGGGAGATCAACTCTCTCCCAGGGTCATTTTGCAATCCCACCACCGAGGTGACTGCTGGGGAGCGTCCTCCCCAAAATCTTCAGGTCCCCAAGGGCTGCTGCAGGCCCTGGAGTGCCCTTTTCCATGGATACCTCTTGCCCTGGGCGGCGTGGAGCTGCTCCTTGGTGGCGATGGCGTGCCTGAGGAGGCTGTCGATGCTCTTGAAGTACACGGTGCTGTCAGTCATGTTCTTGATGGCGCTGGGAGAGGGGGGGAAAAAAGGGGGATGGAGGCACAGGGAACTGGCATTCCCGAGGGTTTCAAGTCCCACAGTCCCCCCTCCTCCCCGAGGGAGAGGATTGCTGAGGGGGAACCTCAGTTTTAACTTCGCACCCGGCGGGCGGATTCGCGGAGAGGTGGGGGCGGGAAGAGCTCAGAGCCCCGGAATTCCTGACAATTCCCGACATTTCCCAGCCCACACCCCCCCTCCTGCTCATCCTGGCTCCCTGGGTGTGGCTCCTGCTTTTGGTTTCCCCCCTCCCAGGGCTGCAGGGGCGAGCACAGGTACCTGCAGGCGTATTCCACGGTGTAAATGGCTCCCTGGCTCTGCTCCTCCCAGCTCTGCATGTCCGACTGGAAAAGGGGAATGGCAGGGTCAGGAAGGCACTGCCCAGGGTCAGGAAGGCACTGCCCACAGCCCTGCCAGCCCCTCCCAAAAAGGGGCTGCTTCCCACTAGGAATGGGGCTCTGGGTTCTGTTTCTGAAATCAGGGTTTGTGGAGTGTGTTTCTGGAAGGGCTGCTGCAGGAATTCGGATACTCCGGCCGAAATTCCCTGTGTTTGTAGGTGTTTGGGCCAGCTGGGAGTCACCCTCGGGCAGGGTGTGAGCTGAGCACTGAGCCCAATTCCCAGTGTTTGGAGCAGCACCCACCCACAGGGTGTTTGGCCCAGCTGGGATCCCAACTCCTGTGGAGTTCAGCCCTTAGTCCTTCCTAAAAACAAAAATAAAGAGGGAAAAGCTTTCCCAGTGCTCCAAGTTCAGGTTTCATCAGGTTTCTTTAGATTTGCCACTCCAATGTTTTTCCCAGCCATGAATGTCCCGTGAATGCTCCCAAACTCCAGAGGCTGATCCCAAGCAGGAATCTGCACCATCTCCTTCCTTTCCCAACTGGAATGAGCCCTGTAAACCTCCCACAAACTCAGCTCTGTGCCCAGCCAGGCCTGGCCCGGGATGGAATTGCACCCCCACAGCTCCCAAACAAAGGGAAAACCCAACAAATCCGGGAATGACGGCTGAACTGGGGGGTGCAGCTCCACGGATAACGATTCCCAAAGTCCTGGAGGAGTTTCTGGGCGCTCCAAAGGGTGCTCTCACGGGAGCTCCTTCCCCAGGCCACCCTGCTGGAATAGCTGACACGCACCAGAGGGAATCCAGAGGCCTCTCCTGAGTGCAGGAGGTCGGGAAGGAGCTTGGACTTCATCCAAACCCCTTCCTGCTGCTCAAAGCCTGGAATGTGGAGCCCAGAGCCCGGGATACAAAAGGAACAAGCCCCTGCATGCCAGGGGCTCTCTGCAGGAGGGGGTCCTTCTGTGCCAACCCCAGAGTCCCTGTGCCACTGGGAACAGGCCTGGGAGCTGCTCCAGAGCCAGGGATTGTCCTGCAGCTCCTCCCCCTGCTCCTGGGCAGGGATGGAAACAATTCCCTCAACTTCCCTCTGCCTGGGGCACATTCCCTGAAAACTGGGACCACTCTCACGGAAAGGAAGCAAGTGACAGCTGAGGGATGAGATCCCAAGGCAATCCCCTTGGAATGTGCCTCACCCCCACCTCCAGAGCCCTCCCACAGCGGCACTTAATGAATCATTGGATACTCCAGTGTCCCAATCCGGGGAAATTTGGGAAGCAGGGCGTTTAAAGCCAAGGTGAAGAAGGGTCCCTGACAGTGCATTAGCACGGACAGGAGGCAGGGAGCCATTCCAGAGGCATCATTCCTAATGAATCCTGGCTGGCAGAGCAGGGCTGGCACTGAAGTGCTCCGGAGGAAAGCTGGGATGGGCAGGTCATTATCCCGTGGTTCTCCCTCCCCTCCTCTCCCCCTGCTCCTCAATTTATGTGGGAAGGAAAAACCTCTCCCTGCAGGGGTTGTTTTGCTTCCCCTCCAGCTGCAGGATCGTGGTTGGGAATCCCGAGTTTTTGGCCTCAGGTGCGTGGATAAGTCGGCAACGTTCCCTTTTCCTGTTCCAGGGGGATTCCCTCCTTCCTGTTCTCCCATCAAAATAGGGAGGGATTTAGATGATTCAGGGATGGAGCAGCTCTGCTGCGAGGAAAAGCTGGGAGAGCTGGGACTGTCCAGCCTGGAGAAACGAAGCTTTGGGGTGACCTGATTGTGGCCTTCCAGGACCTGGAGGAGCTGAGAGGAAAGATGGAGAGGGACTTTGGAAAAGGGATGGAATGACAGGATAATGGGGAATGGCTTCCCACTGCCAGAGGGAGGGTTGGATGGGATATTGGGAAGGAATTCCTCCCTGGCAGGGTGGGGAGGGGCTGGGATGGAATTCCCAGAGAAGCTGTGGCTGCCCCAGCCTTGGAAGTGCCCAAGGCCAGGTTGGAGCAGAGAAGCTCCAGGGAAACCTCAGAGCCCCTTCCAGGGCCTAGAGGGGCTCCAGGAGAACTCTGGACAAAGGCCTGGAGTGCCAGGAAAGGGGGAATGGTTTCCCAAGGACAGAGGGCAGGGTTGGGTGGGATTTTGGGAAGGAACCGACCTTGTGCTGGGCGAGCTCCGGGAGGGACCTGCGGACGTGCTCCTGCAGCCGGAACAGGGCCACCGAGGGCTCGTTGGCCAGCACGTACAGGCTCTCCGTGAACTTGTCTGTGACTGCAGGGAAACGTGGGATTAGGGAAAATCAGGAGCTCCGGGGCCTTGGGAAGGGTGCCCTGGCCTTGGTCCTGACACAGCAAGTGAGAGATCAGAGCAAAGCCCCACTCAACCCCTCCTGGAGACATTCCAGCCCCTCCTGGAGATATCCCAACCCCTCCTGGAGACATCCCAACCCCTCCTGGAGATATCCCAACCCCTCCTGGACACATCCCAACCCCTCCTGGAGATATCCCAGCCCCTCCCGGAGACATCCAAACCCGTTCCCACCTTTCTTCACCTTCAGCTGCATCTCCGGCTCCTCCATCGCCGCCCGCCGCCACTTCCGCTTCCGCCGGCGCGCCCCCGAAACCGCCCCGGCCGCGCCCCGGCGGCGAAAACAGCGCCGGGTGGAAACACGGCCGCGGAGACACAGTTCCGTTGAGCCCTTGAGGTGTGGGGGGGTCCCCCCTTCCCCAAAACCGGGCGACCCCCGGAATGAGTGTCCCCAAACCAGCCCCTCCAGGGTCACATCGCGAGGCGGCCTCGGAGTTGCCCGGTTTGGCCGCCCCCGCTGCCCCGAGCCAGCGCGGTGGGGAGATGGGGGTCCGGGGGGTGTGGGGGGTCACCCCCCGCCGCCACCCCCCTCCTTCCCGGGGCTGCGACACCCTGGGGACCCCCCTGGACTCCCCCCGTGTCCCCCCACAGCCCCCCGTGGCGCTGTGGGTGTTTGGATACTCCCATTCCCGTGGGCTGGGGGCTGAATCCGCTGTCCGGGGCGGGATAAGGGATAAGGGGATAAAGGGGGGCGAGTGTCCCCAACATGTCCCCCACGTGTCCCCAAGGCCGGGGGGGTTGTCCCGCCGCCCCTCCGCCACCCTGTCCCCGCCATCCCTGTCGCTTTAAGGCCGCGTTCCCTCCCCCATCGTCAGCGGGCGGGTGGAGCCGGGACGGGACCCCCCCGAAACCCCCCAAAATCCACCCCTCTGGAGCCTTCCCGGGAACGGGGAACAGGGAGCGGAGACCGCGGTGAGGGGCTGGGGAGGAATATTGGGGAGGGGGAGTGGGGGTCCCCCTTCCCTGAGCTCCGGTGGGCGCTGGGATTTGGGGGGCGGGGCAATGGGGGGGACCCCCAAATTGTGCCGCGGGTTGGGGGTCGCAAGGACTTGGTGCTGGGGTGGGGTGTCCCACATTTCCCCGCTTTTCTCCCGCTTTTCCCCAGCTTTTCCCCCTCTTCCCAACACTTTCTTGCAGGTGTCCCCCTCCCGAAGGTGCAGGAGCAGCTGGTGGGGGTCGCGGAGCCCCCCCCCGAGACCCCCCACCCCGAGCCACGGGGACGCCAAGGAAAAGGGCGAGAATTGGGGGGGAACGGGATGAAAACGAGGAGGAGGAGGAGGAGGAGGAGCTGGAGGAGAGCAGGGATGCGGGGGACGGAGGGGATGGTGAGTCTGGGGGCGACAGGGTGGGGGATGCGTGGATCCGGGATCCTGCCCCCCACTGTAAATCGGGATTCAGGGGATCAAAGTGCCCTCTGCCCTGGGGTGGGCACAGTGGGTTCCCTACCGGGCTGGCAATTGTGGAGTATCCTGAGTGGGAAGGGATGCATCAGGATCATGAGTCCAACCCCTGCACGGGAACAGGGCACCCCAACAATCCTAGCCCTGCACAGGGCACCCCAAAAATCCAGGTTCTGCACAGGGCACCCCAACAATCCTGACCCTGCACAGGGCACCCCAAAAATCCAGGCTCTGCACAGGGCACCCCAACAATCCTGACCCTGCGCAGGGCACCCCAAAAATCCAGGCTCTGCACAGGGCACCCCAACAATTCCCTGTGCCTGCACAGGGCACCCCAGAGTACCCTGGCCCTACACAGACACCCCAACAACCCCTGGCCCTGCACAGGGCACCCCAACAATCCTGTCCCACTCCCAGCTGTCCTGGAGCCCCCCCTTGGCTCAGACACATGGGGTGTGGGGTCTCCCAGGGTCCCTGAAAGCTGCCCTGGTTTGCAGGTGGAGCTGAGACCCCCAGGAACCCCTCGCTGGACGCCCAGAGCAGTGCCGACCTGCCCGCCCTGGATGGTGAGTGTTGCAGAGCCAGAGGGAGAAGGAGCTCCCCGGGTCCTCCCAGCCCGGCAGATCTGCTGGAGAACAATCCCTGACTGCTGCCAGGCCCTCCCAAAACCATTCCCAGCTCCAGGCCCTCCCAAAGCCATTCCCAGCTCCAGGCCCTCCCAAAGCCATTCCCAGCTCCAGGCCCTCCCAAAGCCATTCCCAGCCCCAGCCCTTGGCGCTGCCTCGTGCCAGCAGTGAGAGGTCGCTGCAGCTCCACGCAGTGGAACTGGAGCTGGGAAAGCCCTTCCACGGGCTCCCCTGATTAAAAACTGCTTGAAGACACGCTGGGATTTCCGAGTGGAGCCTCCCAAGGGCAGGAAATAGGAGGATGGACCTGAGTGCACATCTGCATTTATGCCCTCAATTCCAGGTCCCTGCTTCCCCCCTGGATGGATCCTGTCCCTCCTCAGGCAGCTCTTGGAGCTGGTTTATCTCCCTGCTCAGCTCTTGGTCTCTGTGCACTGGTCAAACCTCATTCTCCAGAGTTTTTACTTGCAAGGGGTTGATCCCTGGTTTTGCAGGACTCGGTTTTTGCCAGGGAACAGCTTCGGATGAGGCCTGAGCTCTCAGGAAGCAGCTCCTCCCTGTGCACAGGGAATAAATGCAGAGAATGAAACCTGAATGAGTAGAGAATAAATAAATAGAGAATGAACCCTAAATTAATAGAGAATAAGACCTAAATGAGTAGAAAACAAAAAAATAGAGAATAAAACCAAAATGAATAGAGAATAAAAAATAGAGAATAAAACTGAAATGAGTAGAGAATAAATAAATAGAGAATGAACCCTCTCTCCTCTCCCTGGACCAGGTTTCCCCCTGAAACACTCGAACACTCTGACCAACAGGCAACGAGGCAACGAGGTCTCAGCCCTGCCAGCCACACTGGACAGTGAGTGCCACCAGGCAGAGGGTCACAGAGGGGTGTGGAGGGGACAGAGGGACAGCAGGACACGGGGGGGACCCTCTGTGTCCTGCTCTTCACACCACTGAGTGGCAGGAGGGAGGGATTTTTGGGGCCAGGGACCCACCTGCAGCTGGGGAAGGGTTTTGTCCCGGTGGGTGAATCCTTCCTCTCTCCCCCAGCACTGTCCATCCACCAACTTGCTGCCCAAGGGGAGCTCATCCAGCTGAAGGAGCACCTTCGGAAAGGTACGTGGCTCCCTCTCTCAGCCCAGGTCCTGCCGGGTCCTGGCTGGTGACTCCCAAACCCCCAGCTCGGTTTTCATCCAGCCACAGGATCCTTAAGGTGGGAAAACACCTCGAGGATCCTCGACTCCAGCCAGCTGAGGAGGTTCTGCTGGGTTTGCCGGGAGGACAGGGAGCAGAGGGAGCTTTGCCCTTCCCACCAGTGTCCCCCCGTGTCTGTGCAGGTGAGAACCTGGTGAACAAACCCGACGAGAGAGGCTTCACCCCCCTCATCTGGGCCGCCGCCTTCGGGGAGATCGAGACGGTCCGGCACCTGCTGGAGTGGGTAAGGCCTTATCCAGGCAGCCCCTGGATAACAGGGAGCTTCCCACCCCCAATCCCAGTGGCTCCCAAACTGTCCAGCACCGTCCTGGTGCCTCCTCAGCCAGGCTTTCCCTTGGCATCCAGCAGGAGCTGCCGGGTGCCCTTTGGGCCGTGAGCTCGGCCAGGAGCACTCAGAGCCTCATTCCCCAGCCAGGAGGGGCTGTTTGTAATGAAATCTCTGCTCACTGCTCATTTGGGATCGGGTTTATCACCGGGGCCCTCCAATCTGCTGGCAAATGTGCTCGGTGAGGTGTGGTGGAAGGAGCAGGGATCACATCCCGCCCTCTGGAGGGGGCTGCTCCCACATCCCTGTGGATCCAAGGGCTGGGAAGCACCCACAGCTCTGGGAAGCAACCGACCAAGCTCTGCTCCTG